TACCATTGTCAAACTACACAACTTGCTTAAATGTTTTGAAATCTCTTTATTGTGTCACTAGACAACAATTGTATATATATATATATATATATATATATATATATATATCCCATACCAGGACGAAACAGCTGTCCAGTGCTTCCAGGTTTCTAATGGTAGTCAACATTGATCGATTCGTAGTTTCAAAAAATACATATATCTTTAATCCTTTTGAAGTATGATTTCCAGTTTACTTACTATTCAATCATCACTAAAATTATGTGTATGAAGATTTCACTTAATTGAGGTCATTGAAGACAATTGTCTGGTTATGATAAGATTTTCTCTATATTTTTTTTCTAAAAATTCATAGTATTGACGTTTTCTCTTCACGTTTGATGTTTTGTTTATATATATATATGTAAAGAATAGTTTTTAATCGAGAAGTTGTTGGCCTCCCCGCGCGCTCATATCTTGTCCTGTCCATTAACTAATTCGTATGGCTATAGATAAATAGATAGATAGATAGATATTTTTAGAATAATATCAATCATTTATACATTGTTAACCTGTTAAAATAATAATTAACTTTTTTCGCTACAATTTTTTTGTTATTTATGATGTCTGCATACTTTCAGTTTTCCATTAATAATAATCATAATAACGATAATTGAAGTGTGAATCTAACGACCTGATTGCATAATGAGCATTAGATTGATTGAATGAATTTCGTTTTTTTTTTTGAATTTTTTCTCAAAATAAACATTGTACATTGATAAGTAGAGCTGTGTTCAATGTTCAATTATGATATTTTTAAGCTTTAAGCTACAAAAAAATAACATGGAACATGATCGGTATGAGCTTATAAATAATATTATGTATATATAAAATCTTATGACTGATGCGATGCAAATTACATGTGCCGTTGTTTAGAACACAACAAACACGATTGTTAAGTAAATACAGGCAGTTTGAAATCATCAATCAATCATTGTTAGATGATCACCATTAGAAACCTGGGAGCACTGTAAGACGGCTGTTTAGTCCTGGTATAGGACTCATCAGTGGCAGTGCGCATCCACGACTCCTGCACCTCGCAGGACTCGAACCCGGGACCTTCGGTATTGTACGCGAACACCTAACCATCGGACCACTGGGTCGGCATCCAACGGTGTTAATGTCTAACTCTGATTGATCTAGGGATTTTCCACGACCTCACCCATTTGTCCTTTGGTAGTTACTGCCTACACCCGACAGGGTTGAACTCCATTAGTCACGTCTTCTCAACTAGAACACAAACCTCCAAAATTCTGCTCCAAAATACAGGCAGAATGGGTTCTCTATTAAGTCAGTTGGTATCGTAAACAAGCATTCTATGCTTATACTTTTATAGAACCTAGTATTTTTTTTGTTGAACCTATTAAAAATAAACTTAGTCTTTGTGTCTATTATAAACATTTTGTTGCTAATTAACTTCTTTGATATCAAAGAAGAATGTAGGCAATCAGTGTCAATCTGTTTGACTAACTAACTATCATTTTGAATGAAAATGAAATTAAACTTACACTTTTAAATAATTCTATTTAAAGTCATTTAATTTTTTTTTAAAAAAAGAAAGTAGAAATTCAAATTATACATCATTCATTTTATGATTTTTTTTTTCTTATTGACTGATATAAGTAGTATTTATGATAATTATCGAGAACTAAATGACTTTTCTCTTGTGTTGTTCATATTTACCGTGTAGATTTTGTTTGAGGTTAATAAAAGTGACTAGAAATTCAAATTTTATGTTGATTCAATAGACTTATCAATATGACATTGAATTATTTAGACTATAGTGTACCAAATTTCAATTCAATTAATAAAATAGTAAAAGCTAAGCAACAGTGTCATTGGTTGTTATTGAATGCATTCTTTTAGTTGAAAGAGTTTGATGAAGATTGTTTTAATGTGTACATTGTATTTGTCACAGACTAATTTCAATTGATGTACTGTTAGAATTATTGTATCGACTGGTTTTGTGAGTGTATACTTATGAGTAGCAACAACTTAACTACTCCCTTCACATGGTGGTCGTTCTTGCCTATTGTGATGACCTAAACGAGCTTTATTGACTGGAAAATATGATTTTGTAGGTTCTATCATGCCAAACAGGTTGATTAGAGAATCGTGAGCAGCAACTTAAGGTGCTACCTTCTCACAAGGAATGGAAGAGATTAGAAAGTTTGACCCTAAGAGTGTCAAACGTTGTCAGTTTTCGTCTCCGGTGGTAAGGCCTTTTAAAAAGAGCTTAGCTAACACTTCTAAAACATCCCGTAAACAGGCTGTGTGTGTGTGTGTGACCAGCCTCAAGCAGTTGTCCATTGGGCTCTGCAACTGTGCTTCCAGGTCACTCAGACCAATGCTAATCTGATTTCTCTTTCAGATTGCTCAAGATACACCTTTCCACAGTTCAGGGACAGTCAGCAAGTAACATTCACCCTCATACTCGTAACAGTATACAAGACCAAATTAGTCACAATCAAATCTCAAGACTCAGAACTTAACAACTATCCAAAGATCTCTGATTTTCACTGATACCCTGACTGATATATTTATTATTGTTTGATAAATACAATCTTTATGCGCTATCATAATTCTAGTGTATAATATTATTTTTTCCCCCATTTTTTCAATGAATTATTTATTTTATTTATTTTTTTTTACCTATGCATAATTAATACATTCAGGTCATTTAGTAAAAGAAACAGAAAAAAAGATTTATGATTAATTCATTATCTTATTAGGAAATGTCAAATTAACAACTTATTATTATGATTGGTTGTAGTACTAGTAGTAATGGTAGTAATAGTGGTAGTAGTGGTAGTAGGCAATCAAGGTGTTGTTGTTGCGTTTTGTTTTCACTTTCTCTCTCTGTAGAAATCTTTTTTATTTGTGCCCAATCTCTCTTGACTTTTGATCGATTTTCATGCGATAGTGATGTGTTATTATACTGAAATTGTCAAAATATTTACATTACGTTTTTTTTTTATAGTAATATATGTTGGTTGTTTTTTTATTTTTCTGGTATAATGTTGTGAAAATTGTTGAATTTTATTGAAATGTCGAATTGATCTAAGTTGGGTGATTATTGAGAAGCTAGAAGCACTAGACGATCGCTTCTGTTGAATATAAGACTTCACAGTAATGTGCATGTATAACCTGGAATCTGACAATCGAACATAGTAGCCTCACTTACACTCCTGAATGCTTAATCCATGAACAGCTAAGTTGGAATCTGATGGTGTATGAGTCTGACCTTGATTAATCTGCGAAATCGTACAACTACTATCTTCTATTGTTTTCCGTGGGTATCATCTACATCACACCTGACATGACTGAACTTCATTGGTTACAGCTTTCAGCTGGAACTCCGTAAAGTTCCTTCTTAAACTAGTCATTTCAGTGTAAGGCTGTCTAACTTAGATCAATTTGCCTTGGTGTGTAAATTTGAAACAAGATCGATTCGATCATTATTTTCCTCATAACAACATTACAGTGTTACGTAAGACTATTACTGAGCACAATTGATAGAAGCAGTTCTAAACTTCTGGGTAAAAGTTAATTCATTCTTTAGTGCAAAGATTCATACATTTACCTTCAACTCATAGTTTCTTAAAAAAAGTCATCATTTCAAGCAATGCACTAAAATTAATATAGAAAAAGCGAATTATAAACCAGTAATAGTTATTCAGTACTATAATCAAATGAAATAAACTTATTTTTAGTCAACTGCAACAAGTATCTCTGATACATAAAGAAAACTAAACAATCTGTTGGCAATGTGATAATAATAATAATAATAATAATAACTAAGCCGATGAACTGTACTTCTAGGAAAAAAATTCGAACGAAGTAAATTATGAATTTGATAGTATGAAAATATGATTATATGCTGGGTCAACCGCCTAACCTGCAGCACATACCGCAGCTGTGTATTCAACGCCACACCGAGAGGGATCTCGAAAAGGTGGCCGTCACCACAACTCACAGAAAGTTCAATTTATGTCACTTATTCGTCAGTTAGATAACGTGGCATTCGGCTACCTTAAGAGAGTCATAGTTAGTTACACCAAAAAAGTATGACTTCATATATTACTGACGTTTGTTACCCCTAATGTAGCATAGTCCACTGACTGGCGAATTATTTTCGTGATTAGCGTTTTCTTCCTAACGATTTGGATTTCTATGAGATGAGTCGACCACTAACCTCATGCTCAACCCTCCTCCTCCATTATCCAGGCTTTAGACTGGCAGATAAATTTATATTGAACATTTAAATCAATGAGTCAATCAGCACTATTTTTTTTATTTCAAATCATTATGATTTTATTTTGAATGAGAGTTATGGAGATTAGTGTTCTCACACATTTGAAATCATCACTCAGTCATTGTTAGACCACCGTTGGAAACCTGGAAGCACTCGGCGGCCGTTTCGTCCTGGAATGGGACTCATCAGCAGTGCGCATCTATGACTCCTGCGCCTCGCAGGAATCGAACCCAGGACTTTAGGTCTTGTACGCGAACGCCTAACCTTCGGACCACTGGGCCGGCATCCAACGGTTTTGATGTGTAACTCTGATTGATCTAGGGATTTTGCGTGACATCACCCATTTGTCTTTGGTAGTTACTGCCTACACCCGACAAGGTTGAACTCCACTGGTCACGTCTTCTTATCAGAACTCCAATAATTTCCTCACGAAGTTAGTCACTAGTGAGCACATTTAGCGATATTTTCAATTAGAGTTACGGAGATTAGTGTTTGTTGCACATTTGAAATCATCATTATTACTTTAAATCTTCATGTTGCATTCTTGATTCGTTTTACTCTACTAATCATGCTATCACATGTATTTAAAATCGTTTCTTTTCCTCTTTCTCTCTCTCATATAGTAGTTACGTATACATTTCATATGTGTGACTGAAAAATTTTACACTTATTTATCGATTCTGTTTATTTTATTCATTTGTTGTTTCAGATACCAAAACTATTTGATTTATTTGGAAAAAATGGTGGAGCTTCGTCATGTAAGTTCATAGTTCATAGTTAGTAGTCATGCATTCACTCAGTTTCTCTTGTGTGTGTGTGTGTTTATCTCTATTATTCAATAATCATTAAAAACAAAGAAGAATTTCAAGCTGTTTCATTTGTTGTTTTGTTCTAATGAGTCAATACGTAAAATAAAAATATCTGTGATGTTAATCCGTACGTGAGTACATCTTTGCAAGATGTCTTACCACATTAGCCAAAAGAAAGATCGAACTGTCAATTCAAAATCCCATAGTGTTAGTAGAAGTAGTAGAAGTATGAGCAGTTATCGGAGAAAATAGGGTTCGATGAAATTATTCAAGGAGTATCATTCAGTGAAATAAATTTAAAAAGAAATAACTAGAGGTCCCGAGCTCACGAGATCATGAGAGAAGACAAAGTATGGATGCACTTGCATCATTACAAACGATTATGGGCCATGTCATTCAAAGTATCAAACCATAGGTTACTATCATCTCGCGAGCCCCAACCAGGCGGTCTATACCAACTAACATGCTTCAGTCCACTTGTCGGTGACTTCATGAATTTGTAATATGACTTGATTTGGACCATCCCAGGTTTCTTCCAACCGACTCCTGCACCACAAAACATCGTTTGTCGAGGTATTCGGTGGTTGGACATACGTAACACATGGTCCCGACCACCTCAACTGATGAACATTTACTACCTCATCTATTGATTTGCTATCCTTATCTAGTACCATTTTCCTAAGCCTAGAATTGCTTATTTCATTGTTCCAAAATAAACTAGCAATGCTTCTGAGCCACCGATAACCGATTCCTAGTGACCTACGAATATCCTCTATTCTTACTAACCATGTATCACACCCATATATTATAGGACGCAGCGAACCGCTTCGATTAGCAGATGGACGTCTTGCCTGCGCTGCAAGTGTCGTTGTTTGGCAAAAGCTAATCGACCTTTCGTCAGACACCCGTCCATCAGCACTGGTGAGACTCCAACGATAAGCGAAGCGATCAACACACCTAACTACTTCACTTCCTATTACAAGTTCAGGTTCCAACGCAAGGCGTTGAATCGCATCCCAAACATGCCGTGATACAGTTAGAAGACTAGCTCTCCATTATTTGCGATTAATAAGCATTGTAATAAAATTTCTAGATAAATTTTCTCTTAAACAGACAATAAATTCACCCAATTCACTTGCGCACATATATGTATATGTACTTATTTATTCTACATGTGAATTATCTTTTCCTGTCCATTATTAATCAAAATGTCGATCATTGTAGTTGGAACCCAACAAACTAAATTCAATAATCTAATAATCTTTTTCCATATTAATTTATCTAATCTGACCTAAGATAAAATGTCATCTCATCTTATCGCATCTCACTTCACCTCATCTCATCTAATCTAATCTACGCTAATCTAATCATTCATCATGTTATAACACTTTGTATTGGATAAGTTCAATGCAATGATTGAAACTTTGGTGTCTTCGTCTTCTTCCTCTTTTATCTAACTCAATGTTGTTATTACCTCAAAATGACTTGATTGCATAATATGAAATAATATAAATATGCTTAACATGATTTTGTTATGATGTCTTGCATGTATAAATTGAAACTTAACAAATTCTCTGTTGAATTTCATTTATACGTTCATTCATTTATTCATAGGAAAAATTACACAGTTTAATGAGATGCATATATATATAGATGGATAGATGTATAGTTAGTTGTACGTGTTATTCTGTTTCGTTTGTGCTATTGCATGTACACAGACACACACACACACACACATGTAAATTAATGTGAAACACAATGTTTGATATGAGGAATTCCCTTTTCTATTCATGTATACATATATATGCCATTTTGTACAATAATCACATAAACACCTTGTGTGCTTTACTAATATTTATTACTATTAATATTATTATTCCTAGTCTTATAGTCAACTAAGCATCTTTAGGCAAATATGAATCTTAATTAATTGAGAATTAGGTCTACATATAATTAACTAACTAACTAATGTGTGTGTGTGTGTATGTATAACCGGTAATACGTTTGATTTATGCAATAATTGTTGAGTAATAATCAGTGTCATATTTTTATTTGTAGGAGATCAAATGTTAGTATGATTAAGGTTTATTAATTAAATGCGATCAATATGATATAAGATTGTTTCAATAGTTTTTTTTATTAAAAAATGATAACATGTAAAGAAGACCGATCAGTTGAGATGATTATCTATGTAAATTTCATATCTTCCTCTCCTCAGTCAGTGCCGTAGTATGGTTGAGAGTAAGGGGGAGTCTATTCTCTGTATCTCTCTCTTTTTTGAAGTGCTCTCATATGGCCGAGTGAATACAGACACCGACAAGGAAGTCCTCCTATTCAATGCTTTCTCGTGACAGGTGTTGTTTATGTAATTGAGGGCATGAAAAGTGAATGTTCAGCCAGAGCTCAAATCGGGTAACTGGATACCGAGGACCAACCGGCTCGACGAGCTGGAAAACCATGACTTCAAACTAATGATGATTATCAGTTTTAGGATCCTGAGAGAACAAATGGCGTATAAACTTACTGTAGGTCACCGACTACCAAAACGGAAGAATCTCCTGACGTTGTGCTCCATTACCTTGTGGGTTGGCTTAGAGGCTCGGAGTATGGTCCCTCTCCTTTAAGAAAATCACCTATTATGATTTAAATATTCAAACAGTAATCCAACCCATTAAAATATACACTTCCATGTTTGAATTCAAACTTGACGCAACATTGAATTGAGATCGATTTATTTTATCTAACAAATAATTGAACATTGAACTTTGAAACGCAACTGCGCAACTTCAATTCGAATACCAACTACTATGTTCGCTACTTAATTCACAATAGATTTATATATATATATATATATATATATATATATATATATATATATATATATATATATATTCATAGAAAATTGTGATCTACTATTTTTTGAAACCATGAATCGATCAATGTTAGACCACCATTCGAAACCTGGAAGCAATGAAAGACGGCCGTTTCGTCCTGGTTAATGACTCATCCGCAGTGCGCATCCACGATTCCTGCACTTCGCAGGATTCGTACCGAGGACCTTCGGTATTGTGCGCGAACGCCCTAACCGTTAGACCACTGAGCCGGTATCTAACGGTGTTAATGTCTAACTTGATCAGATTCACGGACGAAACGGCCCTCTTTCAGTGCTTCCAGGTTTCTTCTAATGGTGCTCTAACATTGATCGATTCATAGTTTCAAAAAATGTGTAACTTAACAATCTTCACAACCCCGTAATGCATATACTATTTTGTGTCATTAATACCATTTCCAAAATATGAATCTAATTGTGCTTCTTCACACACTCTGTCAACGTCTAAAGAATAAAAGAAAAAAACAAAAAACAGAATCAAATCATTCCTTACTACTTCTCTTTTATTGAAATCAAAATAACTCCTTTAGTCATATGCATTTTTTTTACAATCATTGTATTAGAAAAAGTTGAAACACTAAAATTAATGTAAGCAAGAGGAGAAAGGTGCAATAATAATAATAATAATAGTAACACCTTGCTAATAAGAATTTATTCTCTACACTAAAGAATATTTGTCATTGTAATACAATACAATAATAATACTATAAGTAATAATAATAACAATAATAGTAATATAAATAATAATAATAATGGATTTTGCTGTGTATTATATTATAGTTGAACATTCATTGTCAGCGGCTAAGCAGCATTAATCAAAACAAATAAATTTCTTATCATCACACTGAACAATGGACAATTTTGTCTTTAAGGCAATTGAATATGTACATATATATATTGGGCGGTAAATCCATATATATATATATATATATATATATAAGCATGCAAATAGTCAAATAAATCTTTCGCCATATATGCTTGTGTTACATATATATATATGCATATATATATTGTAAAATGGAACACTGAATGTGATCGTAGCTTAGGCGTTTTAATAAATCATAATGTGTGTGTGTGAAAGAGGGAGAGAGCGCGCGCGTGTGTGCTCTCGTAAAACAAAGCAGTAAGGTGCTAATTGTTTTTTTCTTCTGTTTAACTGATCATCTTTAATGCATAATTTTCTACAAATCACATATTCTACTAATTTGACATTCATAGTAGTAGTAGTAGTAGTAGTACTTTTTTATAAGTAGTATTATGCTAGACAAGAATATTTTTGTTTTATTTCATATCTTACAATGTATTAAAATATGAAAACAATTAATTAACTGTTTAATTAATTAATTATCCATTATAGTGTTACAATAAGATATTTCATGATAATTCTAAAATGTATCATATACTACTGAAATATTTATTATATATATATATATATATATATATATATATATATATATATATATATATATATAATATCAACATTGTGTTATTGTCTTTGATATTTAATTATAATTCTATGGAAAAAAAAATTTCTTTGTAATTGCTAATGGTTATTAGTGCAAGAATTACAAACTATTGAATTGTGATTTCATTCACATGTTGGGGCTTCATCAATGGATGAACAATGACTAATAATATATACACACTGTGAAATTTAAAATCAGAAACTTTTTTCAATATCGTTTAGTTAACTATGATAGATTGTGTCACTAATGGTGTAGGCAAGAAATCCGTATGCTGATCTGCGAATGAGTGTACTGCGCAGTAGTTCTCTCCGTCTTTAAATATATGGATGCCAAACATGGCCGTTTAGAGTAGAGATCATTCCTAGGTTATTAGTATTCGGTTATAGATGTTTTCGAAGCATTGGTCGTATATCCTGGGAAAACCGACTAAGCAGTGCTATAGTTAGGAATCGAGTATTAGGTAAGGATGGTAGATCAAAAGATGAAGTAGTGAATGTTCATCAGTTGAGATGGTTAGGACCATGTGTGGACACGTATGCCTAACCACCGACTGCCTCGACGAGCGATGATGCCTGGTGTTGGGGTAGGCTGGAAGAAAGCTAGGGGCGGCCACACCAAAACACCGTACATATCCATGAAGTCACTAACGACTGGACTGTAGCATGTTCGTAGAGATGTAGATTATCTGGTTGGGGTCCTTGAGACAACAATAACCGATGGTTAGAGACCTTGAATGACATGGCTCAAAATCGTTTGTAATGACGCAGCTGCATCCACTCTCTTTGTGTTCTCTTAAACTCTGTTCTTCTGAATTCTTCATCACATCATTCTCTTTTTAAATTTATTTCACTAAATTATACTTCTTGGATAATTTCTTCTAACTCTCATCTTTTCCATTACCGCTGATACTTATACTACCTTTGGAACTATGAGATTTGAAATGATAATTCGATCTCTTTGTGTGCTAATATTGTATGGCAAGTTGAAACAATGTACGTATGTATGTACGAAGTTCTACATTGTTTCTGACTGACTGAATGCTGATCGATTCTGTGAATTATTCAGCAAAAAAATGAAATTGCATCTTTCATCATCAAATCTATACAATCGTTCAAACTAAATACATCAGTAATTTTGTTATCTGATGAACAGATATTGATGATGATGAAATGACAACTGTTAACTATTGTTCAGTGTACTTTTGACTCAAGTCAATTCAGCGTATAGTGCAATCGCATGTCTAATCTTTCGTGTGATGACCTACTTACGCATTGTACCTCCAGCCGACCAGCATTCTTCAACCTACTCTGTCCTAGGCCTTCCTTTCTAGCTCTATCCAATTCATTCTTCTCATATCTGTCTCTCTCTGCATTTCTTTGATCTTCCTCTTTTTTCCTTTGGCCTTAAGGGTTTCAAGTGAGAGCTTGTGTTGTGGTGCAGTTAAGTGATTTCTTCAATGTATGCCCTATTCACTTGCAGCGTTTCTTCCTAATTTCTTTCTCCACTTGAATCTAGTTTGTTCTCTCTGCTCATGCCTATGTTGTACTGGTGATTCAATGGTTAAATAATTTAACTTGTAAGTTTTTTTTAATACCCAGTTACAAACTACACTCTGTCTAGTTCGGTTTAAACAACTGGATAGTAGTATTAATTTCTTACATTTCGAGTGGATCGTACACTCTGCCTGGAGCTCTTCTGGGGCTACTGCCGGTCTCAAGCCCGGATAAAGGAGGACAGTTGGGCTTGGTGTTCGCAAACCCATCCCACAAAAAAAACCTAACTCGCTAAAAAACCGCTAACCAGAAAACATAATTCAAACCATTTTCACCCAGCCCTGGGAGTTGGAAGGTCTTCTTTCATAAGAATTACGGAAAGCCCAGGATAGAGTTGGTTGAAGAAAACTAGTCGACGGCCTATACTCCATTTGGGGTAACAGGCGTAAGTAAGTAAGTAAGCATACTCAAACACCTAATAGATGAGTTGATTTAATTCCGTTGTAAATTACTTTTATCAATTCAATTTCATAAACTTATGTTTTAGTGGTGTATTTGTTTATCTTGGCTATGATAAAACTAATATAAATTCTTATTTATAAAATTATTTATTATCTCTTTGAAAAAAAAAACAAGGCAAGCAAAACATGCCCTTATCTCAGTTCTCTGAGCTAAAATCATGTGTGTAGAACCATAATCTAACTATAAAGTTAACAAAAAGAGAAATACTGTAAAACTATTTTTTTTTTTTATTATCATTTCAAAATGTCACTTGTAAAAAAAATTCATCTATTAATCTATTTTATAACTTATGCAAATGGTAAAATGCCATTTTATTTCACTCATACACACACTTACACACACTTACACTCACACTCAGTCAGTATTCCACCTTCACATTAAACTTCTTCTTTGCTTTTTTTTTTCTCTTCTTATCTTCAGTGTTTAAAATGCCATTTCCAACTGATCCACGATTGGCTAGTTATTTTCTACCTGGTTATCCTGCTGCTATAGCAGCTGCTATGGCAGCTATGAATGCTGCTTCATGTTCTCTATCGTCGTCATCATCATCGTTATCATCAACACCTTCACCATATTTGTCAACATGTTGTTCACCATCACCCTCATCCTCTTCTATACCATCAATCATTAAACCGACTTCATCAATATGGAATATGAATTCAGCTGCAGCTGTTGTTGCAGCGGCTGCGGCTGCTGGTACAGCATCATCTTTTTGGTCAACTGGGTGTAACACTGCTGCTGCCGCCGCTGTCGGTAGTGGCGGCGGTGGCGGTGGCGGTTCCTCATCCACTTCGTCTGGTTATGCAAGTTCCGATGGTAGTGCAGGTGGTAGTACTACTGGTATGAATGGTTCAAATTGGTTGCATCATTCAGCTATATCACCAGGGAATAGTAGTAATAGTGGTAGTAATAGCATAATAAGTGGTACTAGTAATTGTGGTGCCAGTTTCAATTTCTCCCCATATCCCTATCCTCGTCAACATCATTTATTCAATCAGAAGCATTATTTACGCACATCGAATGATGATGATTTGTTGATGTGTATGAAAAGAGAATCACCAAATTTTGATCGATCATTCTATTTCTCACATAATCCTAATAATAATGTATCATGTGTAGAAAATGCACCGATCGATTATAATTTATCTGGTCAAATTTCACAATTCTCTAATTTATACAATGATCATTATCCAATGAAGAATTCTACAAGTTTAGTAAGTATTTCTATTTTTTATTTTTTGTTGTTGTATAAATGTGAAACTAATGATTTATGAATTATTTTTGTTAAGTGGTTTTGCACTGTTTTTTTTTCGTGGTAGCTCAATCGTTTTTGTCGTTTATTTTTCTAATGATTATCATTGGATATTACTGAAATCATGATTGAATCATTGTTAGACTAGTGTTAGAAACCGGGGAGCTTAGTGGACGCCCGTTTCATCCTGATATGTGCACATCCATGACTCCTGCTACACTAGCAGGACCCTAGATCTTGAGCCTGAACACCTAACATCTGGAATTACTGTCTAACTTTGATCAGTCTAGAGATTCTGTGTGACTACATCCATTTTTCTTCGGTAGTTACTGTTTACACCCGACAAGGTTGACCTCCAGTGGTCCACAGGTTTTTTTTTCAATTTCACAAAAACTCCTTTGTGTGTGTGTATGTCTCTCTCTCTCTCTCTCTCTCTTAATCTTTCGTTGTTTTCCTCTGTATGTCAACTTTGTTTTCGTGTTGTTTTATATGAATCCAGTATGTTTGACTAGTTGAAAGAAAGTTTATCTTTTTTCCGTTGGTTTTAAATGATTTCACAATTAAATGTACTATGATGAGAAAAATGAGTAAACAGCGTTAAATGCCTATAGCTAGGGTGTGATTATTAGACACATTGACAAATTATCAAGACCACACTGTGTCTTCTTTTTCTGAAAAAATTTAGTCTATTTTTTTTTCAAGTATCCGAAAAAAAATCAATTCAAAACAGTAAACTATCTTTTCCATGTTGAGTTGTGGAGATGATAGAGTTTCACTGAAATGATAAATTAATCGATAGAGTATCATTAGAAACCTAAAAGTACTGGACGGCCGTTTCGTCCAAGTATGGAACTTATCAGTAATGCGCATCCATGATTTCCGCATACGTGTTACGTATGTATGCCTGTTGGAGATGTTAGATCCCCAGAACTGGCTTGATAAATATCTTTATTTTGGATTTGTTTCATGGACCGATCAGTTGACCTTGAGACCACATTTCCCACCAACAAAATCCTTGGCTGTAATTGGTTACTGTGTCATTTCAGTGTGCTATTTTTGTGACTCTCCCAAGGACGTCTCTTTAGAGTATAAATAAATGCGATTTCAGTGCTTGCATTCATTGTGTGCTTGCTGGGTGTTTGTAGAATACAACTGCTACACTATATCACGACTTCTTGCTGATACCTTTTGGTGAAGGGATCACAGTAGCCTATCTGGACTCTGGTTATTGTTTTGTTCTTGTTATTCGAGTAAGGTGAATTCGTAATAGTTTAAGCATACCTAGAGACGAGCGTAACAATGCTCAACCACTAACACTACCTCAACGAGTGATGTTTTGTGATGTTGGAGTAGACTGCGAAAAAAAGCTAGGGTCGTCCAAACCAAAACATGGCACAAATTCATGAATTCACTGACAACTGGACTGAATCATGTTAGTAGGTGTAGACTACTTGGTTGTGGCCCACGAGACAAGTGTAACCGATGGTTAGAGGACCTTGAATGACATGGCTCAAAATCGTTTACAATGGTACAGATGCATCCATCCATTTTTTGAATTCCTCATGACCTTTCGTTTTCTCTGGATTTATTTCACTGGATTATACTTTTCGAACCATATCTTGGGACCCTATTCTTCTCCATTACTGCTAATACTTCTACTACCTCTACTTCTATGAGATTTAAAATGACAATTCCTTGTCTCTGCGTGCTAATATGTTATGGCCAGTTGGACATCGATGTACATATATACGTACGAAGTTCAACGTTGTACCTCCTGACTCATTGACTAACTGACTGATTAATTCTAGAACTAAACACATCAATAACTGATCACAAAATGAATTATTTTAAAATCGATAAGCAATGAATATCATCATGCTATTTGAAAGTAGTATATATATATTAACTTTTAATCCCAGTTATAGGTAGTGTATGTTAGATGTGTCAAAAATTTTTTAAACGGAGTGTTTTTTTTTAAGAAAACTATTCTATTTAAATGCGCCTTACTTCTTCTCACTTGAATGCAATGTGTTGTTGACTATTGACTGATATGATACCAATGTTGTTTGCTTTTTGACAAAAAAATATCTCACACTGAATTATCCTTGTAAATTGCATTGATTTCATGTTGACACCTGTTTCCGTGTGTGTGTGTGTGCATGTGAGTGTAGGCTTTTCAATTCATAATACAATGATCCTATTGTTAGGAAAATTTTGATGTCAATCGAACTGGAATGAAACATGTTGATGCTTGTTTCAACTCATTCACTCAATCACTTAATCAATCAATCAATCATGCAGTCATTCTGTGGTTTGATTTATCAATTTATTCAAATGTGTTGTACATTCTCACCATCATCATCAGCGTTTGCTGTTGTTGTTGGTGTTGGTGTTTTAACTCGTCAACAAAGAAACTTGTACAATAAATAAACATGCTGAAAAAAAGTAGGGAAACATTGAAAAATGATTTTTCTAAAAAAAAACAGGTTTCCATGACTAATACAGCTGAGTACATACAAGATGTAAAGGTGTTCTCCTCCCCCCGCAGTAGTTAACAAATAGCGCTTTTCAATCAAAAACTCTTACTGTATGAATGTTTACATATTGTACATTTCTAATGTCACATTCTTTCTCCAACTGGTTTTTTTCAACGATATTTATCAGTGTTCATATGATGTTTGCCTATGAAACAGGTCTGTCTAATTAATAAACCTTAAACTCCTTTATAAGAAGATTATTTGACTCAATTTGAATTGCACATTTGAAATCATTGTTAGACCATCACCATTAGAAACTTGAAAGCAGTGTAAGACGACCGTCTTATCCTGATATGGAACTTATCAGTGGTAGTGCGCATCCGCGATTCCTGCACCTTGCAGGATTCGAACCCAGGACCTTGGGTCTTACGCGCAAACGCCTAACCTCTGGACCACTGAGTCAATTCAAGTTATTTACATATATATATATATATATATATATATATATATATCTCACCTAATGCAAAATATATATATATCATCATATTATTCTATATTGGTCATGATTTACACACCCAACTTTTCATTCATTCTGAATACTCAGTATGAATAATTGATATTGTCATCACTATATAACTATGCTTACTATTATTAGTATTGTTGTGCGAACACTCATTTTTACTCTTTTATTGTTCATATGGGATAAAAGAATAATTATTGTCCGTTTTTCGCTACACAAACCGTCTTTGAAGAGCAACACCAATGTTCAAAACACCTACAACAACAACAAAGACTAATCGAGCCGAGTGGAACACCTACTCACGCACACACGCACTTACACACACTCACATGGTAGACAATGTGACCCCGCCTCTTTTTCACTCCTTTCTTCTTCTTATTTGTTTTTTTTTAAGCAGTCCTATTCTATTCTATTGTATTCTGTTCTATTCTATTTATTTTCAACCTTTTCATTGATTCATTCACTCATGAATTATCGTTTGATTTCATGATTATTTGTTTGTTTGTTTTCAGAAAAAAATAAAAAAATAATCATAATAATTAGACATGATACTAAGAATAGGAATGTGAATTTATAGTGTTGAGTATAAAAGAAATTAAATTCAATAAATAAGCATTCGGAAAATGAATGAATTCCTCTTTTTGAATGCATATAAAGAAATGTATATTGTATTTTGCTGTAATTAGTAATACTACTTTGTGTAATATTTTAATAGTAGTTTTTTTGGTTTTCTTACTGCATTTTTATATCTATATGTGTGTATATATATTAATCATTTTTGAGATGAATTCAAATTGTATCAAGTAAAGGATAATTCTTATACAATTTGGGCACCTAAATATGTATTTATTGAATTTTCGTGTGTGTGTGTGTGGTATGGAATGTTGTTCTTCAAGTGCTCATAGTGATGCAGTTGGTCTTCTTGATGAGGGTTGGGTGTGTGTGTGGCGGAGAGCCACTCTTTGAACTTTTGACCTATAGGTCATATTCTTAAGATAATGAAACAACATTAAGAGGCATAGTCTCATGTTAGCAGGTGGTCAAGAATACAATCATGTTATTTTTCCCTTCAGAGTCCTGGAGGTGATGTGCTTTATTGGTTTTGAATGAGAGATCACCAACTCTCCTACGTAGACCCCACCTATTCGCCTCTGTCGGATGTTCGTTTTTTTTATCCTTGCGTTTTCACAAACAACACTTATGTCCACAAGAGGACAATCAATAAGACATCCTTTTCAGTAGATATATATGTGTACGCATGGTGATATGAGAGCATTTATTCTGGTGGTAGAATAGACTTTCTTCAATTTCGGCTGTACCAAGGTGTTTGGGAATGAAATGATAAGAATAATGGTAAAAATATTTATCATACATCCTGTTTTTTACTAAGTGGTTCACATCACCTTTACGGAAAAACAATAATCCAGTGAAATTAATAATAATAATAATAATAATAATAATGGCTTTTATGTCCACTCCTTTCAGTCATTTTATCGTTATCTTGTCTAACGGGATTATTATTTTATTCCACTTCTCTCTCTCTTTCTCTATGGTTTTTGTCACCTGCGCCAATATGTTTATTACTGTTATTATTATAACTGCCATTATCATTAACATACCTAAGCCATGTCAGACTTAGGACATTGAAATCTACTTGTCAATCATTGCAACTTTCTTTGTTTGTCTAATCACATCAATTTCTCCATTCATTCATTCTCCGTGAATTCCGTCTCTGTCTATGTGTATGTGTGTCTGTCTGTGTATTATGATTATTAGGTTAACTTTGGTCATAATCCTCCTGTAGGTTTAAAAAAAAGAATCAAGTTTCTTCCGTTTTTTTTTCCAAAAAAACTAATGATAATGGCTATTTACCTTTTTCATCATATGGAGGTAGGTACACATGAATGTGTGTGTGTGTGCGTGTGTGTTGTCGTATGGGTCAAATAGGCGTGTAAGTGTGTGTGT